AGCTATAGGCTACTGACTATTAAAAAAAAAAAAAAAAGGCCTTAATGTTTTTCCACAGTTTCGCAACTCATATGGACTACTTTATGATATTTTTATAGTTCTTTTTGGAGCCTCTTTTTTTTCTTTCTTCTTTTGGTCACCATCAACTTCCATTGTAGGAAAAAGAACAGCATGAACATTCTTCAAAATATCTTCTTTTTGTGTTCCACAGAAGAAAGCAAGCCCTACAGGTTTAGAATGAATAAGGGTGCGCAAATGATGACAATATTTTCATTTTCTTGGTGAACTAATACTTTAAGATGTAACAGGGAATCCGAAATGATGGTTCAGTTGTCACTCCAATAAAGCCAAGTGTTAGTTGTCAAGGATTAGAGTACCTGAGAAACACAGAGAGAGAGAATTCATAATCCCTCTGTGAGAAACTCTCTTCGATTACAGCCGGCAGAAACATTCACACAGCACACAAACAGGAACAATCTGAAAAGCTATCAGAGAAAAGAAGTAGAAAGAGAGGAAAAGCACTGATAAAGTAGAGAGGACTTAGGAGTATTTCCCCTGAAGCTGCTCTGAGGGGAGTAGATGAGAGCGAGATCTGCCCTGAGAGGAATAATCTTTACAGAATGAAGATTAACCTCTGATTTCTGAGAGGCAATGATGGAGAAAACCAAGAACTGTTAGAGACAGCCAACATTTGTGGGCACGATGTCAATGGCAAAAAGGTAGACATGAAAAGACTGGCAGGAATGAAGGGCATGGATCCATTTAGTGCACAGATGAAGAATCATACGGATTACAAATGTAAGAACAGAGAAAAGGGGAGATAGCTATTTTGACAAGAGATTACAGATATAAACATTTTCTGGACTAACATACACCACAAACCTGTTTTAAAGTAATTGCTTACCCAAAAATGAAAATGTACTAGTGCAGTCAAGCGATTAATCGCGATTAATCGCATCCAAAATAAGTTTTTGTTTACATATGTGTGTATACTGTGTATATTTATTATGTATATATAAATACACACACATGCATGTATATATTTAATACAAATATGTTATGTTTATATATTAAATATATTTATATATAATATAAAATATAAGAATATAAATATATAAATGTATATACATGTAAATATTTTCTAAATATATACTGTATGTGTGTGTATTTATATATACATAATAAATGTACACAGTAGACACACATATATTATGTAAACAAAAACTTTTATTTTGGATGTGATTAATCATTTGACAGCACTAAAATGTACTCACTCTCAGGCTATACAAAAAGTAGATGAGTTTGTTTCTTCATTGGAACAGGTTTGGAGAAATTTAGCAAAACATCACTTGCTCACCAATGGATCCTCTGCAGTGAATGGGTGCCGTCAGATTGAGTGTTTAAACAGCTGATAAAAAAAACAAAAAAAACCATCACAATAATACACAAGTAATTCACACGACTCCAGTCCATTAATTAATATCTTGTAAAGTGAAAATTTGCGTGTTTGCAAGTTGGTTCCAGGTTTTTCCCATAATACTTCTTCCTCCAGCGAATAATCATCTCATCTGAATCGAGAAATATGCATAGATCAAACACCATTTACAAGTGAAAACAGTCCAAAACAGTTATAGACAAATATGTCGGTAGATTTTGATGTGAGAGATCAACAGCAGATAGAATTTTTCACTGGAGTAAGCGTTATTATGCATTATGAGCTGGTATTTTTGCTAGAATCAACGGTTTAAAATTAAAACACCTTAATAATTGATTTTTATTATTATTTTACAATCATGCAGTTTTTTTAATTCACAATATGCTAATTGATTGACTAGAGTCGTGGATTAGTTGTGGATTATTGTCTTGTTTTGTCATTTGTTTGGACTCTCATTCTGACGGCACCCATTCACTGCAGAGCATTCATTGGTGAGCAAGTGATGTAAAGCTACATTTCTCAGAATCTTTTCTGACAAAGAAACAAACTCATCTACATCTTGGATGGCCTGAGGGTGAGTAAATGTTCAGCTAATTTTCATTTTTTGGGTGAACTATTCCTTTAAGGAAGTAAATTAGGTTCATTTTGACTATCGAGGGTCTCAACTGGAACAAAACGTACCTGACTGACAGGGTCTCTGAGGATTCAACACATTCCCAGATGCTACAAAAAAAAACCCTTGGCCTAGAAATTGTGATTCATTGTGTGGTGCTGTCCATCCAGCCTTGGCCTCACCTGAAAAACAGCCTTCATTTAGTCAGTCCAACTTCCAATACCTTCATAACTGTGTCTGGAGTCAAACATTGGGTGTGTGTGTGTGTGTGTGTGTGAGAGAGAAAAGGAGATCCAGCAGAGATGGTATGTTTGTGTTTGCCATGTTTTCAGACCACCAGTGCACAGAGAATGTTCATCTGGCATGGAAAGGAGTTCTCATGGCTGGCAACTTTCTAAATGTGTGTATGTGTGTGTGAAGCGGGTTTTAGCCTGAAAGTGAAGAGGCATTTTCACTGCTCTCCAGAACTACTGGAGCGACACTGCATAGTCTGACGGATACATTTAAAATGGTGAGGAAAATGAGGGAGGGGAAAGAGATATAAAAGAGAGAGAGAGGCTACGCTTTAGGATGGAAACGTGCTTTCAAACGCTCTCATTCTTTGCAGTTCTCTCTCGTTTTTTTTTTTCCAATTCTCTATAGCAAAAAGCATGAAACTATTCCTAATCTACAACTCAATGTCTTCAAAGCATAAAAACATATAATACACCTAGTATAAAAAACCATATGCCATTATTTAAAATACATTTATTTCATACTAGATATAATTTAAATATATTTATTGACATATCACTTAAGACTGACATAAAATTATAATTAATATTTATTTGGAGTATTTCTTTATTGTACAATGCACATTTCTTAATATTATGCCTACCATGTGCTTTTTTAATATCACTAACAAGGATTGTACGATCTCTTTATAATCTTTAAATGTTAGATATTTGAAGTGAACCTGAAGTACACATGGAATAGTTCCACTTTAGCACAATCGAAAGTATATCTTTAGTTGGACTTCATCTCTACTTCTGCACAATTAAAAGTACATTAAGCACAAAATTAGTTGTTCCAATTTAGCAGACTTTAAGTATACAGTACCAGTTTAGTATACCAAAAGTACAATTGCAGGGTTTTTTATTACGCACATAAATATGTAAATGTATTTGTAGTATACTTGGCACAAAATAAATGTATTTCAAATACATTTTAGTATTTTTTTTTCACTAGGGAATGTAACAAATGCTGTCAATTTAACTCATTTAGTAAAATAGTACTAAGTATTAAAACGCATCTTGAGAACATTTTAAAAATAGCACAAGGACTGAAAAACTTGAGACACGATGTAACAGCTAAAGACTGATCTGATATTGTATTTATTTTTGATTAAATTCATCATATAAATGTAGTACAATTAATTAAAAAGCTTATTTTTATGCATCTTAAAAACTATTTAAAAACGCAGCTCTTATTGCCAAAGAGTGGTCTGAAATTCTGATTATTTGAGATTCAATTTAACTCGTAAATGTAGTAAAATTAAATCAAAATAATAAAAATAATTTAAAAAAGTAAAAAAAAAAAAACAACCTCTGAACATTTTATAAAAATGCTGCACTTTAAAAACAGTTAAAAGAAATAGCGCAGACAAAATGTATGCGATTTGACCGAACAAGGCAAAATCTCAAATTCAATGGCAAAATAGACCGGATTTGTAGGCTTTTATATAAAATATCATGTGATTATTTCTGATTAATGAATTGCCATGTAGTTTATTCGTTACATGCATTTAATCATGCCCTAGTATTAAGACAATAATAGGACACAGTCAGAAGTGGCTTAGGGTTTGAATTGTTTATTCTTTAAAGCAGATCAGGGGATCAGGCCTGACCTTTTTGTGTGAACGACGAGACAAAAAACGGTAATGAACATCACACGCAAAAACACAACGAACAGCTGGAGGATGTGACTAGTGCAATGGGAAGTGTGATGGAGGATTGTGGTGGGTTAGCAGGGTGGATCACAGGATAAATGACGCTACGCAACCATACCGACCAAATCTAGAACCAACTTAGAGTTCTGGGATTCTGTTGTGGTTGGGTCTAGATTGGCCTAGTGTGGCCAATATTTGGTGTCTAGTTCGGTTCTCTTCACTGTGTGCTATCCTTTGTGTGCTATTCTGGTTCAGGTGCTCAGAACCTTAGAGTTCCACCTACTGTATGATCGCCGCTGCTTACTGATTCTGTCCATTTCAGAAATGGATACCAGTTTCCCCTTTACTGGATAAAGGTGAAATAACAGGAAGGTGGTAGAAAGGTAAAAGTGATGGGAAAAGGGAATATGAAAAAAGGAAGGTTCAAGGGTATCTAGCTCTCAATTCACTGCAGATTCTGCTTCAGGTCTGCTCAGGTGTGTCTCTGGGTGGCGTCTTTCCTTGGCAACAGTCGATAAACGGTGAGATCACAGATACAAACTTCCACTCTTCCTGCTCAGAGACTTAACCTCCAGTCCTCAACTTGTCCTAGACAAAGACAAAAAGACAAGAGTGTGTGTTAGGAAAAAAGCAAGAGATGCAGTGGCACGTTTCCACGGCATTTGCATGCAAATTCATAAGGAGAAAGAGAGAGTTCAAAGGAAAAAGGAGTGAATGTGAGTGCATGTGTGCATATTCTTGAGAGATGAACCACGCGGCAAACCACTGTGGAAGCAAAAAGCCCCAACACAACCAAATGTAAACATGTGGCTCTTTCTTCCCGTCAATACGCATCTCTCACAGGCTACTGCACCCGATAACAGGAAATAAGAATCCCTAGAGTGAGAGAAGGAGAGAGAGCACAGAGGAGAAGGAGAGGAGAAGATAGACGGGCGTCACGGTCTGCCGTCAAGACTATAAAAAAGGAAGAAGCCATAGAGACGTTTTGAGAGAAAACAACAGATCTGTCCTTATTTGAACTCTCATTAATTGCAGCTGCAACCATTTTATATAATCATACATTTTTCCAGAAAAACTGGATATTTGGCATTAAGAAAGTAAATGAGGACTTTTTGTTCACGCTGTTCTTTTCCATACAATAAAAGTAGATGGTGACCAACTTTCAAGCTGAAAAATACATCATAAAAGTCCATGACATACTATAAAAACAGTCCATATGAATAGTGTGCTATATGCCAAATCTTCTGAAGTCATAGAAGTAATTTATGTGAGAAACACATGCAAATGCAAAAATCTCTTTAATCTTATTTATGGCACATATAGACATGCAAAGCACCAAATTTGAAGATGTGCATATATAAATAATTTTTTGTTATTATTAACAAAACTAAAACTATTAAAAATCTATTTCAATAAATGAAATAAAGTTGAAATAAAATTAATTACATATATTAGACGAAAACTTAAATTAAATTAAAACTTAATTTAAAAATGTTGCCTTGCCAAATAAATGATGTAAATTATTATTAAACTTGAAGTATTAAAATTACTAAAAAATAAAGACAGAAAGCTTTTAAAGCTAAATAGAAATATAAAAAATGGTAACACTTTAGTATAGGGACTAGTGATGCGCGGATGGCGGTTATATCCGCGGGCGCTGCGGATCACTAATAGGGACCAACTGCTTATTAGCATGCCTATTATTAAAATATTATTATTAGTAATTATAAAGCACATATTCTGCATGACCATATTCTACATCCCTAATCTTACCCAATACCTAAATTTAATACCTTACTAACTATTAATAAGCAGCAAATTAGGAGTTTATTGAGGCAAAAGTCGTAGTTAGTGCTTTGTTAATGGCGAGAATTGGAGCTTAAAATAAAGTGTGACCAAAAAAAAAAAAAACTAAATAAAAACACTAATGAAAATGAAACAAATTGCATAACAAATACTAAAACTAAAATTAAAACGAAAATTGAAAAGGCAAAAAAAACAAACAAACAAAAAACCCTAATAAAATAATAATAAATACTCTAATAGTACAAAATAATAATAATAATAAAAAACCTTGGTCACCACTTACTTTTATTGTATTAAAAACAGCAGAGTAAATCATCTCTTTTTGTGATCAGAAGATATACAATATAGGCGTAAATAAATCTTTAAGGCACTGCAATAAGGCAATGCATTTCTGTATCTCTCTCACGCACTCACTGTTTATTTTGAGCATGATTTCATAATGCTAAAAATATGCAAAAAGTTCTAGACTAGAGAAAACCACTCGAACAGGTGGTGGCATTTGTCCCAAACCTCTGAAGAACACAAGTTTGAGCCAGTGAAAAATATGCCTTGGCACAAACAGATGCTGTAGTCACAAACTCTTCCACTCTTTCCGATAGAGTGGACGACAGTTGAGAGAAGAGAAGAGAGAGAGAGAGGGAGGGAGGGTGAGGAGTGTTTGACCACGCGTTAGGAATAAGAAAGAGCGAATGAGAGATCGCTGGCGATAAAGTAGTATTCATGGTGCTTTGAGAGGAAGAGGGCGTATACTTTATCTCTGGGCTCAGGGCACTATCGGCTCGGGGTTGTACCGCAGTCACTGCTTCACAAAGTGATGGAAGAAGGAGAAGAAGGTCACAGCCAAAATATTATCAGTCCAGCAAAGATAAACCATGGAGTAATTACATCCACAAAGCCACAGCCGGGACCGATCACAGTTGTTACCCTCTCTACTACTCAGGCCGTATCAGGGGAATTCATTCCTCTTTGGCTCTTTAGCAATGGTGACCACTGATTAGAGCCACTCTATTTAGATTCTTTCAATAAGACTTGTTTATACAAATATACAGAGCTATCCGGTCCTTGTTCTCTGAAATCGACAAAGATAAGATCCTGAGGGACTTCCAGATCCAGACAGACAAGCAAGGACTGGCCAGCATATCAGACATTGTGATCTACAGTGGCGATAGATGGAAGTCAAAAATGTCAGGGATTGAAGGAGAACCTACAAAACATGGCAAGTCAAAGCCAAGGTCACAGGGTGTCCAATCAAACTACGATATTTTGGTGGAAAATTAATTGTTACTTGGTAGAAGATTTAGCTAAATTAGACTGATGCCAGCATGGAAAGGTTGCTTGACATGCCCACATCCTTTAAAATCAAAACAATGCAAGTCAGTATTAGTATTACAGTCAATATTACAGACCAGACAAAGCATTTTTTAATCTAATTTCCTATGATAAACACTATTTGATCTAATTTACTATGATTATATTTCACCATAGCTTATTTAGTTTGCAGTCTGAATTGAATAAAGAAAATAAATAAAAGTTTGGGTTCTGATGTTAAGACAATAAATACACAAAACGTCTCTAATGCATAGTGATGATCATGCAAACAAAATAAAAAACAAAACAAAGCCTACAAGAAAAAAAAACGAAATAAAAAAAGAACAAAAAATAAATAAACAACCAAAACACAGAACAACAAAACAAAGGAAAAAAATCTTTCACAAAAAATACTCTTATGATGATTCTTTTAATGAATTGGTCAAAAATACTCAGTGTAACAAATTACACACTGAATTGGTCAGAGCAGTTACTCAAGTAGTTATGGAAGCCCGTTTCTCTACTGAATAACATTTTTTAAAAAAGGTAATTGCGACATTTTATTTCACAATTCTGACTTTTTTCTCACAATTGCGAGATTCTATCTTTTTTCTCCGAATTGTGTGATACAAACTCACATTTGCAAGAGAAAAAAGTCAGAATTGCGAGATGTAAACTCGCATTTGCAAGAAAAAAGTCAGAATGGGGAGATAAAAAAAGTCACAATTATTTAATAATAATAATTTTTCTTTTTTATTCAGTGGCGGAAATGGGCTTCCACAAGTAACTGACTAATACATTCAAAAAAAGTGTTTTGCTGAAGTAAATGGTAGCTGTACAGCAAACCATAGCTCTTCATATATTCAAAATACACATATTTTGCTTGGCTGCACAGCCCTCCATCCCTTTCCCTCACATATACACAAATCGCATAAGCAGTTTAGCTATTTAGTTATCTGGCTGTTTTTTTTTTGGTCTTCCTGTGTGACTAATAAAAGTTTATTACACAGGTAACCTCTGTTCCTCACAGCCGAGTCAATAAAATCATAAAATACCTCATGCCATTATTGGAATCCATATTAAATTTACCAAACAGCAATACTGAGAACAGGCCTGCGCACAAGAACATGCATATATGCAAACACAAAAACATGAAAACATTAGAGATGCTAAAGAAGTTACAGGTAAATTTGGCGCATACACAACAATGAATAAAACATCTCTTTATTTACATGATGTATTGCTTAAGTGCGGCAGAATTCACAGCGCTGCTTTAAACTAATACCCCAGAGGGCAACACTCCTTCGCTTTCGCTCCCCAAACTGTGCTGTTGTAAAAATCTAATGGAAAGACCCATCTGAATATAAATTGTGTTTGCATGGAATTGCTGGAGTGTGCGGAGGAGATTTTCGGAGAGGGTCGGTCCAATGCTGCCCATTTCCATCCTTGCATTACGGAATCCGGACCAGGGATGCTGCGACGGGGGATTGTGGGACGACGCTATTTAAATGACACGTCCCTGTTCCCACTTACTTCATTTAACACACACTTAGGCCTGCACCAAGAACAGCAGCTGTCAGCTGGTATTATGGAAATGAGTCTTTCGTCTGAGCCTACAATTTAGAGCGAACTTAGTGGCGCCTGTAGCCAAGTTGAAAGTGAGAGAACACTGGGCAGAAGTTTGGATTTGCAAATGGAGGTGCGGGTCAGGCAGAGAGTGTGTTATTACAGGGCTTGGAGAGAACGGCAAGGCTGTTTCACTGGATCTTAATGCTGTGGGCTAAAGAGCAGCTGTAGATGCTAATTTGTACGCTAGGATTGCTGGGAACTGGTAGAACATACAAAACAGAAGACGCACACACTAGAATGTGTCTTAATATATACTACTAGCACTATGTGCAAACGCGGCAAAAGTTTTTGACTTACATGAGTGAAGATTTAATTCAATTCTTCTACAACCTATTTTACATTTATATTAAAACATTAACATTTCATATTATGTTGAAACATTTCTCGTGTGTTCCAGAATACGGTCTCAAAATGTATTTTTAAAGGTTACATTTTTTAT